GTGTTCCTTGAAGAGCAGGGGATGTTGTGAAGGACAACATCTCATGCAGGACAACAAAAGCACGATCATTCTTGCAGAGAATGGCAAAGCAGTTCGGGCAAAAGAACTCGGGCTAACAACATTCGTTTCTTTTTTATTCATGACCAGATTGGAAAAGGCAACCTTAGAGTTGTGTACTGCCCCACCTTGGAGATGCGTGGAGATTTTTTCACGAAGCCCCTTCAGGGCAAGCTCTTCACGAGCACAGGGCTTTCATCATGGGCATCCACCCCTTGTTTGATTGCCTAATTTATTTATTCGTTCCACGGTAGCCACTTAGGGCACCGTGCAGGAGTGTGTTGGAGGAAACATACCTGACACCTCTTTACTATTGACTCGTGTATTATAACATCTAGTCCGGTTCGCATGAAATTCATCATGCAAGGAACCAAGGGAGTTTTAGGTCTAAAGTGCTACGGGGGTCCTTATATCCAATTCAATCACAAGAATTGCTATGCACCACCAGAAAATCCTCACTTTTGCTTTTCAGCTTAATCTAAAACCAATTACTCCCCAATAAGCTGCAGTATTACTAGCTAACAGGGAGAGTACCCGGTTCGTGCTTCGTTGGAGCGCGTTAGCGCTGATGGGCGCGCCACGTTAGCAGCAGCATTACTAGTGGACGTGTGACCTCCAGCGACCAATGTGCAACAGGCGCGGAACCAGTGGACCAAAGGGCGATGGCAGCCTGTCGTGCAGGATCCGCGTGAGTCAACTCAGGGGTCAGGACTTCCGCACGGAACTGGGGAAGACTGTACTGTCCTTCGGGACGGGCCACAGGACGGCTTCGAGAGATAGACGGAAGAGGCATCACACGGCGGACCCGGAAGGTATCGGTATCTGGGACACCGCCGCTGTGGGGGCCACTGTGTAGCACAGGAGCCGGCACGGCGGTGAACATCGTTCCTCCGTCAATAACTGTCATGTTGTGGCAGGTTACGTCAGCCGTGCGCTCGAACGCCGACATAGGAAGGACCACCGTGATAGCGCTTCGAAGGTCGTTCCCCACCACGATAGCGTAGAGATTGTCGTAGGGAGAGACCTGGCTAGGATTCACAGGGTACGCGTAGAGTGAATGTCCAATGTAGATATTCGTTTCGTCATTCTGGAGAACGAAGCCAAAGGTGACAGGTGAACGAAGGCAAAATTGGCTCATGGCGCAAGAGGCAACATCACGATTCGCATTAGAGGCGCCGCCCACTGAAGTGAGGATATCAGTGTAGTTAGGAGCATGCACCTCCCATGCCGCTGCACGAGAGACGAGATCCGAGAAATTAGAGCTGGCCATGGTGAGGGTCGAAAAGATACGAAACCTGATGCCGGCGCAAGAGATTAATCTAATCTAGGTTCTTGCCTTCAGCGTCGGCTGAATGAAGAATTGTGAGCTGAGAGAGAGACAACCTTCTTCCGATCGGCAGTTCAATGGCTGGTCTTGGCTAGGTCGCTGGCTTTGGTGATTCATGGTTGCCGCTGTCGATCTTGCCAAATGTGGTCTTGGACGGGCGTCGTTGCCTTAAGGGTAATCTTGTTCGAGAGGCATTGAGGAGCTGATGCGGTGCATCATCATGTGGGGTATCCATTTCCGGAACGCAGGTGATGACCTGCGAGATGTAGAGATGTACTTGAGTTGTAGGTGAGGAGCGCGGGAATTAATTTTGCAAATTGTGAGATGGTCCTCTCGGCAACCATGATTAGGGTCATAGTTGCGAGAACCCATCAGGATTCAAGTTTCCACGCTGCGGGGCGTGGAAACTCGGACGGGGGGTTCCCCAGGCGTGTTGCTGCTCAACACGTGGCAAGCTCGTCTTCTTCTGCCGCTGTGGTGTTGGCTTGTCGTGGTGAGGGTAGTGCCAGTTGCATCACGAGAGGTTTTTATCGAACAACCGGCGGCTTCTTCGAAGAACGTGGCCTCCAGCAGCACAAACTCCATGTCGACGACACGGACGTCGCAAAGGATGACGAGCTCTTACTTAACAATAATAAGGCTCACGATAACGCCAATCCAGAGCAGGCCCCGGCCCAAAACGAAGCGAATGACCTCTTATCGCAAGTACAGGTAGGAATGTCTGCAGATGCCAAGGAGGAGACGACGCCTGTGAGATAGTGAGAGATCATGAGCTACTCAACAATCTGGCTAGTCAGCCTGCTTCCACTCCTGCAAGGAAGTAATACTCTCAACTGATGGCTTTGAATTGTTGAGGAGAGATCAGTTGGAATATCAAATAGAATAATGAGTATTGTAGTCACAATGTAGCACTCAAACCCTCACGCTTCCTCTGCGCATGAATGTTACATGCTTCGAGCAACTCCGAAACTTACTATAGTATTGTGACGGAGCACCTCGGTAGCACCTGTGGACTATCGACCACACAAATCCTCCATCTATAGATTGAGGAAGACAACAGCAAGATTTCAGACTCCAGCTCTGAAGATATAGCTCAATATCCCACCAGGGAAGAAAGAGCAGCAAGACGAGCCGAACAAGTTCAACAAGCCGAGAGACAACTCATCCGAACAAGGGAACGCCAGAAAGGAATCCAGCGAGGCAGCCAATCATGGACAACGACCAAGTACAAGCGCTCGTCCAAGCCGCCGTGTAGGCAGCAGTAGCGGCAGCACTACAGAATCAAGACGTTCTGAACGCCATCAGGCCACCGCAGGCAGTGCCACCACCGCCTCCTCCGGTTGTCCCCTTCGCAGTTACTCCCGCAGGAGCTGGCAATGCTGCATGGGATTTCACCTCATCAACTGGACTCAAGATCTTTATTGCATCCACGGCACCCTTCAGTCACCCGTATGATGGAAAAGAAGCATTCCTTAAGGACTTCCTTCGCAAGATCTACCAAAGGGCGGAATCCTATGGATGGTCAACAATTCTGATCGTTGCTGACGCATCAGGAGAACAGAGGAACATAACCACCCAACACGGATGCCTCAAGTTGACGGATGTCCAGACGCATGCCATCACGTACCTTAGATTGACAGGAAGGGAACATCAAGCGTCGGCATGCCTCCGAAAGCTTATCCTCGGATCAATCACTCCCAAACTTGCGGACAGATTGACGACTCGCAGCAAGGGATACACCGTCGATGCATCAGCAGCGGTGGCTCCCGGAGTGAATCCAAACGCTCCAGTTATGAAGGAAGATGGAACGTGTATGCTTTTCGAACTGATCAGGCTCGTCTCCGTCGAAACCAGGGCGACAGTCACAATCGTCACGGCCAACCTGAACAATCTAGAGCAACTCATGGAGAAAGCGAAGTCAAACGTTGAGGACTTCGACATCGCTGTGAGGGATCTGATCCATCAGCTCGACTCAAAGAGCGTGGCAGTACCACCCATGCTCCACAACCTGTTTGCAGGATACGTGAACTGCTCCGATACCGTCTTTGTCAGGTACATTGCCAGGAAGCAAGAAGCATATGAAGATGGAACGATTGGCATCACTTACGATGAACTCATGAAGATGGCTCTCGAGAAGTACAAGATCCTCATCGACAAGGACCTTTGGCTCAAGAAGACTGATGACGAGCATGAGATCAATGCTCTCAGGTCTGAGCTCACGTCACTCAAGGCTTTTCCTGCAGCAAAGAAACCTTCCATCTCGGAAGGAGGTGACACGGCGGCAAAGAAAGCTCAAAGGCAGGCCAAGTGCGCGGACAAGTTCGCATGGAAACTAGTCGAGCCAAAGCAGGGTGAGCCAAAGGAGAAGACCGTGAACAACAAGGAATACATGTACTGCCCTTACCATGATACGACCAAGTGGGTCCTCAAGATCAATGACAAAGGAGTCGATCACAGGACAGGATGTACCAAAATGAAGGAAGCAATGGCAGCCAGCGCACAGGTCAAGGATGATGCCGGAGCTACTGCCCTTGCCAACGCCATGGAGGACGTTGGAACAGCCACCGTGGATATGAACCCTTGATGGTGGCGGAGTGGAGAATTGGTAGCCACAGTAGTAGCTAGTTGTAATCACTTTAGTGATCACCTTCTTGTTACGTTGGTCTTCCGGACTCTACTCTTAGCCCAAACCATAGCATGTCTCATGGCAGCGCAATAGGTCAATCACGGCGCTGGCTCTTCAAACTGGAGACTGCCCTCGACAAGGCAGTAGAAGAAGAAGCGGTCCTGCCGATGATGACCATTCTATCAGCCCAGAGTACTGGAGCTATCTTCGATTGGGCGATTACGTTCAATCGGCATTGGATGTCATGGTTCGTGTATGCATCGATCTGCACCCATCCAATCAGGCTGATGTCTCAGCTGATCCAGCTGTCGCTTAATGGCATTTCTGCCACCCTCGTGAACGCTGCAGTGATCACGGAATTTGGGGCGTCATGTATGACGTTCTTCGTAACGACGTACGCCCTGCTGTTGTGGGCGACATCACCTCAAGACCGACCAGCTTACGTCCCAAAACGAAAAAGAGGATGCAAGCCATTTATCAGGAAGCTTCGAAGAGCCTCTAGAGATGTCAGTAGAGTCCTGTTGGACGTGGCAGCCCGAGCGATCGGGGCGATAGCGTTGATCATGTCGCTGAACGAATTGGCAACAATCACCAGTGCCGGAGTACCGGACTGCGAAGACAAGAAGTCAGAAACAAATGAAGACGAAACACCCAAAGGAAAGGGGCGATCGTCCACGGCCACGGAGCACGCACCTGTCATGATGTGGGACCTACCGACTCCTCGTGACGCGTCCCAACCAACCACGTTCCAGCTCTTCATGAGATTCCTGCATGCGCTGAAGGCAGGAATCAGGATAGCTACCGATGAGGGCAGCCCGATGGTGGCTTACAGCCTCGTGATGCTGTCGCTCAACGGCACAACAAATGGAGCAGCGGACGACCATCAGTATGACACGGACTCAGTCCTGATTGCCATTGACAATTGCTCATCCCGTTGCATCACTAACTGTATGTGCGACTTCGTTGATACTCCAGTGAAAGTGAGAGTGTCAGTGCAAGATATCGGAGGATCAGTCACAGCCACGTACAAGGGAACGGTCAAGTGGACCATCGAGGATGAACAAGGCAGAGCCCATCATTTTCTCATCCCAGACACGTATTTTAACACAGCAACACCATACAGGTTGCTGTCCCCACAGCATTGGGCGAGAGTCGCAAACGAAAACCACCCAGAACAGAGAGGAACGTGGTGTGCCACGTACGAAGACGCAGTTGAGCTGTTTTGGAAGCAGAGACAGTTCAAGAGAGTGATCAAGCTCTCGGCATCCAGCAACATTGCACTCGTCAGGAGTGCTCCAGCATTCACCAAGCTGCACACGTTCTGTTCCGAGGTTCGAGAGGAGATGGGAAAGCTCCCAATCGATGAGTTTGAGCTACTGGCAATGCCAGCAGCCACAATTTCGGATGAGGAATCAGGCGATGACTCATCCGTGCAGTCGGTAGAATCAAGACTGCATCCAGATCTGCCTCCAGACGCCGTTGATCAGCAACAGAGAAGCGAAGAATTCCAGGAGAACGTGACTCACACATTCAGAATGAAGAAGGACCTTCACAAGATCGAGGTGGAGCCTGTTGCCGACGACCGGTATCTCAAGTACCGAACCGACCAAGCAGACATCCTAGCTTGGCACTACCGTCTGGGGCATCTCTCTTTTGAGAGAATCAGAAAGCTGGCAGAACGCGGGGATCTTCCGTCAAAGCTGGCGTCCGCAAGAGCCCCAAAGTGCTCAAGTTGTATGTTTGGAAAGGCCACAAGACGGCCATGGAGGGCTCGCACGCCCAGCAACCAAGCGCTGCCTCTGTCAGCGGACGCTCCAGGTGCAATAGTGGGAGTCGATCAGATGATCTTGCCAACACCAGGGTTTATTGGTCAGATGAGAGGCATTCTCACCAAGAAGAGGTATACCATCAGCACAGTGTTTGTTGACCACTACAGCGGTCTATCATTTGTTCACTTCCAGATCTCGAAGTCTGCTGAGCAGACCATCATCGCCAAGAAGGTATTTGAGCGGTATGCCAGGACGTTCGGAGTGCGAGTCAAGCACTACCACGCTGACAACGGGATCTTCGGGGTGTAAAATACTCGTTAGTTTAGCAAACTATGGCCACGGAGTGGCTTTTATGACGCGGGCAAGTGGTGGGGAAGCCCCCACCTAGCTGAGTCGTCATCTACTTATTTGCCCAATCAACATGATCTCATCCACTGGCCCAACGTGGAGCCAGCACCAAGTAGACAGATGCCCTGGGTGGGGGGTGAGCACATTGATAGGGAACCTGCAGCGCAAAACCTGTGTTACAGGGGCTTACACAGGATTTTTGTCGGTATTGAAACCAAAATCAACCAAAGGACAGGAGGAACCAGTATAATTGCAACAAGAAGTGCTCGCCAGTAAGTGTGTCTGGTGATCAGGTCCCAAGCTGTGGCAGGGCCTTGCATCAAGCAAGATGCCAGAGAGCCGTAGGAGGTGGTATCCTCAGGCTGGACAGAGAAGGGTGTAACCCATCAAGGCACAAAAATTGTTAGATAGAGGCCAACAAGCAGCAGAAGATGGTCAAATGAACACTGCAGTGTGTGGTTCCAGAAGGGAGGCACAGTGGCCTGGATTTGTGGCTGCGAGGGGTTGTTGAGTAAATAGAAGGAGGATAAGGGGCACTGGAAGTGGGCTGGTGCCAGGGGCAGGAGGGGAGATCCTGTTGGTGTTGGAGTGTTGAGTATTTGGATGTAGCATGGTTGATGTTGTGTTGTAGGATAGAGGGTGCCTGTGTTCAAGGTGAGAACAAAGGCATCTCCCTGATAGGGTAGGGTTGATTCGGAAGGGTGTGACCTCAAGATGGCTGCATGCTCTAGGGAGCTTTGGCTGACATCTGAGGGGTGGTGTTAGTCGCGAGAAAGGTGGATTGGTGGTTGGTAAATGAGGGAGTTGGGAATGAGAACCTGGGTTGAGTGAAGTTGTGGGTAGACATGGGGAAGTCATGTGGGTGGTAGGTGGTTGGTGGGAGAGTTGTGATATCCTGGAGTGTTGACGTAGTGTCGTGCTTCAACTAAGCACATGGAGGTTGCTTGTGAGGTAAGATAGATGTAGAGGTTAATCAAGGGCAAAGCACGGCACTGGATCAACAAGGTTAAATCAATTGTGGGTTGTGTTGCCACGGTATCAAGAGGCTGTAGCCAAGTCTGTGCAGGATACCACTAACCTGCAGAGAGATGATGGTATCATACCAAAGCGTTAGGGACTTTCAAAAACTGGAGAAGTCACGCTATAGCCAGTAGAGGCATGTGGTGGGATCAAGGGGTTGTTGAGTTGATGGGGCTTGTTACTGGTATACTGGTTGTCTCAAAGGTGGTACTCAATTTTGTATGACCGATGTCTATCATGCAGAACAGAGATCAAGCACAGATTGGAGGGTACTCGATTCAGTGGAACTGTGGAAGTCCTGGAGAGTCACTAAACAATCAATGGGAGAGAGATAGGGTCAGTTATGTATTATTAATATCTATGCCACACCACGTGCAGTTCTGTCTGGGGCTCAATCATTTGGAGTTCAGCAACTCATTAGGAGAGTCAGTTGCAGTAGGGCAGAGAGGTGCGTTCAATGAAGTGTTGCACATCTGTTATAACCAGAGGGTCAACTTTTGTAGTTTGTTGTTGTGTGGGTGAGGTCCTTTGGAGGGGAGTTGGATATCCCAGGGGAAAAGCGTAAATGGCCAATGCCTGGTGATAGGAGCGAATCCAAGGTGACTGACTGCTCAGTGCGAAAAAGCTGAGTTCAGCTTGTCCACTTGTAACTCAAGTCCTTACATGGAACTCTGTTGTTGTTTTGTGTTCCTCTTGGGAGGAGTAGATATCAATGGAGGGGTAACAGTAGCAGGTGGGATAGTCAATCAGTCGTTATAGGATAGGACTGGTTCGGATCAGTAGGATCAGTTCAAAAGGACGTCGGGAGAAAACACTAGTGCCGTGAGAAAGTAAAATACAGGTGTAAATTCTCTCTCGGGTCACTGCAGTATCTTGGAAGTCTTCTTGATCGTTCGACCGTACAAGGAAAGGACGGCGCGGAAGATTGAAATCGATCAACGGAGTACGAAGTCTTGACACGATTAGATTGAGAATCGATCGATTCGCGATTCGTGGTAACAATTGACCTTAGGTAATTAAGATCAGCTGTTTGCGAGAGAAGATGATCGTTCGAACACGAGGAACAAAAGGGATTCTTCAGCCTGCAGGACTTATTCAGAAAACAACAATAGTATGGGACATTGTTTCTGTACTAGTGCGTGGAAGCCGAGGACTTTTTCTTGTGTTCAATATTCCTTTTCCAACTGGCCAGTACGGCGGTCGACAGAATAGAAAGCCATCGCCGATCATCTAGGATTCTAAATTGGGAATGGGCTTTCTAATCTGACACCGTGAGAACGCGCCGCTTTGATAGTCTCTTGAAGGGGAGGTGCGTGATGGAGATAGAGAGGTAGTCGATCCTGTCAACCGGAGGTTGAATGAGGGCTTGAATGAGAGATAAAGAGAGGAAAAAGGGATGTGTGTTTTCCGTGATGACGTTGAGTGGATTCCTATAGTAAAACAGTACTCTTCAACGAAATAACAGATAACAAGCTTCCTGCGGTCCTTTCGCTTCGTTTCAATGCTTCTAATGGTGCTAATAGGTAGTGTAATGGTATAGGTATGACCGATTGGTTGTGTTTGTTGCTATCAGTGTGGTTCTTGTAGTGACAGATTCAGAGGGGAAGCTCCTCGATTCGATTCGGCTTCCCGTGAAAAAGTGACAACGGGATCTTCGACAGCAAAGCGTTCATGGAAGAGGTCCACAACAGCGGGCAATCAATCACGTATGCCGCTGTGAATGCTCATCACATGAATGGAAAGGCGGAAAAGAAGATCAGAGACCTTCAGGAGGCGGCAAGGACCATGCTGCTCCATGCCAAGCAACGATGGCCGTCAGTGATCACATCGAACCTGTGGCCGTTCGCAGTGAGATACGCGAATGACATCGCGAACGCAACGCCAATCCTGCTGAGAAATGACCATGCGTCACCGGTGGAACTTTTCTCCGGAGTTGATGTCGCTCCAAAGGTCAAGAACATCCATACATTTGGATCACCAGTGTACGTCTTGGACAGCCGGATACAGGAAGGAAAATCAGTACCGAAGTGGGAACACAAGTCTCGGATTGGCGTCTATCTTGGTTTGTCCCCAAGACACTCGAGGAAAGTCGCACTTGTTCTTAGCCTACGGACAGGACTAGTGTCCCCTCAATTCCATTGCCAGTTCGACGACTTGTGCGACACGTTGAAGCCATCGTCAGGAAATGAACTGCCAGCATCGAAGTGGCAACTCAAGGCTGGTTTGATTGAATCAACAAGAGAGAGTCGCCATCGTGGAGTAGTAAATTTGGATCTGGAAGAGGAAGAGAAACGAGTCCAAATCAGTCACGGAGAAACCGTGAGTCCTACGCGCGAGGGCCCGCCGGCGCCGACCGCTAGAGATGTGTTGCGAGACGATTTCGGAATATTACAAGACAATGAGGAACAACAAGAGATCAACGAGACGGGAGAGGACGACGTTGATCAGCCAGCGGTCGGAGTCCGAGCGGAAGACGATCCTCCAACGACAAGAGCAGGGAGAAAGGTCCGCAGACCGACCAACCACGATATTTTTGAAGTATCTTATGCAGCTATCCCATGGGAGGTCTTCCACGATGAGGAATACGATATCCAAGATGAGATGGAAGATCCAATTGCGTTTGCCGCGTCGACCAACCCAGACATCATGTACATCGATGCAGCATTGACTGCACATGATGCAGAGAACTTCAAGAAGGCGATGGTCAGCGAGGTTAGCTCGCACGAGGAAATGCAGCACTGGAAAATAGTGAAGAAGAGCAATATGCCTGCTGGAACGAGGCTACTACCCGCAGTGTGGGCATTCAGAAGGAAGAGAAGGATCGCTACACAAGAGATATACAAGTGGAAGGTGAGGCTGAACGTTCATGGTGGGAAGCAGACAAAGGATGTCAACTACTGGGAGACATACTCGCCCGTGGTTGGGTGGTCGACCATCAGGACTTTCCTGATCCTCATGCTTATGAACAGATGGAAGTCGAGGCAAGTAGACTTCGTCCTTGCGTTTCCACAAGCGGACATTGAGTGCGAGATGCACATGGAGGTCCCGCAAGGTTTCAGCGTTGACAGATCATCAGGGAGACCGAAGCTAGTGCAGACCAGCAACAAGAGGAGATACGTCGGAGATGACTGCCTTCTGCTGGAGAAGAATTTGTATGGGCAGAAACAGGCGGGATGCGTATGGAACCGCTATATGCACGACGGACTGATAGCCAGAGGTTTCAGGCAGAGCGCAGTCGACATGTGCGTGTATTACAAGGGATCTGTTGTTCTTCTTGTGTATGTGGACGATGGAATTTTTATAGCACCCACGACGAAGGAAATTGATGACGCCTACAATGCTCTGTCCAAGCCCGTGACAGACAAGAAAGGGAAGACTCATCGTGCATTCAAGATGACGAATGAAGGGACTCTGTCGGATTACTTAGGAGTCAAGGTCCAACCACTAGAGAATGGGACAATCAAATTGTCTCAACCTCACATGATCAAACAGATCATAGACGACCTCGGTTTCGATGAAAAGACCAAGAAACAGTCGACTCCTGCACTGTCAACAGTCAAGCTCCAGAGAGACTTGGGAGGAGAAGACATGCAAGAGGATTGGAGGTACAGAAGCATCGTCGGGAAACTGAACTTCTTGGAGAAGTCAAGGAGGCCTGATCTTGCCTATGCAGTGCATCAGTGCGCAAGGTTTTCTGCAGATCCCAAGCAGTCCCATGCTGCGGCTATCAAGCGCATTGGGAGGTATCTTGTTGGCACAATGGACAAGGGAATCATTCTCAATCCGACAACATGTTGGTTTGACGTGTTCGTGGACGCGGATTTCGTTGGCAACTGGAACAGAGCTACGGCTGACGTCGATCCATCTACAGCGAAGTCGCGAACTGGCTACGTCCTCATGTATGGTGGTTGTCCAGTTACCTGGGCATCGAAATTGCAAAGAGAGGTTGCTCTATCGACAACCGAAGCTGAGTACAATGCAATGTCGGAGGCATTGAGGGACGTCATATACCTCATGCAGCTGATTGACGAGTCCAAGCTACAGCTGAATTGTAGAACACACGATAATCCACCAACGGTTCATTGCAAGGTATTCGAGGACAACAGTGGGGCCCTTGAGATGGCATTGGAACCAAAGATGCGTCCACGAACGAAGCATATCTGCGTAAAGATGCATCATTTCAGGGGTTACGTGCGCGACAAGAGAATCACACTACACAAGATACCAAGCCGTTATCAGTTGGCAGATATGGCAACCAAGCCACAACCATTGGAGCTCTTCGAGTCTCAGAGAGAGAGTATTATGCAATGGGAGTCTGAGATCCTCACAAAGCAACAGTTGTTGCAGCCTGGAAAGCATCTGAGGGCGTGTGAGATAATGAGAGATCATGAGCTACTCAACAATCTGGCTAGTCAGCCTGCTTCCACTCCTGCAAGGAAGTAATACTCTCAACTGATGGCTTTGAATTGTTGAGGAGAGATCAGTTGGAATATCAAATAGAATAATGAGTATTGTAGTCACAATGTAGCACTCAAACCCTCAGACGCCCCACCACGATGAAAAGCCCCCAAGCCGAGTCCAGCGACAGCAGGTACTAAAACCCGAGGAGGACACCACAGGCCGGGTGGAAGCGACCGAGGAAACGAGTGATCCAGCATCGCCATCCGGCCTCCGAGGTGTGGGCAGAAAACATCCGGAGGGCAACGATCGGCCTGCATCCTCTACGGAATCAGAGGGAAACACGAACATGATAAACGGCACAGCATTCAGTCGCCGCCAACAAGATAACGCCACCGCAGAAACACCGGGGAGCGACCGGTCCATCGTCGAAGAAAGCCCGCAGAGATTGCTTGCTACTGCTACACTGGAATCCCCTCTTATCGCAGTCGCCGAATATGCCTGCAATGATTCCACAAGACAACTCCTCCAAGAAACCATTCAGCTAGACTTGCCAGGAGACTGGCATCCGTTACTGGATCCCAGCCTACTAAATGACGAGTCCAACTATAGCTCGAGCGCCTCGCATGCCTTGGCATTGGCGGCTGTCGCAACCTACAACGGACTCTTGTTCTCGCTGTGTGATTGGCCACACTTTCGAGTCATGCTTTCCACAACGGTATCCTTGGTGAATCGATCCAGGGAGGAGTCCTCCTTCTTCGTTTCCACGGGCGCCAATACTACAACAGCTGTCGAGTTTCAAATGACAGCCGAGTGCCATGACTGCGACATTGATTTGCCACTCTTTTCGGATCCCTCTGCTACTATGATGGGTAGAATTGACACGGTACCTCTGGGACAACACGAACCCAATGCTAGCATGACACTGCCGACGTCACCAGTTGCTTCCAGGCAGGGAGATGATCGACGTAGTGGTGTTTGTGTGATGATCGACGTAGTGGTGTTTGTGTGTGCCCAGTGTCCGAGGCATCATCAACAACAAATAATATCTCCAAGCCTCCCACAACGAAAGAGTTTCTTGCGGCATTGGAGCCAGCACTTGCTACCATACTACTCCCAGTCAAGGATAGTACAGAGGAAGTGCCCTGCAGCTCTGAAGTTGGGACATTCGCATCTTATGTTTTCCTGAAATTTGACTCGATGAACAATACAGTGACAGCGCAGGACAAGTCTGTTTTGGAGGGTGCCTTTGTCCAGCTTTACAATGAGCTGAGTTTTGCCTCTTGTGACCCTTATTTTAGGAGCGCTGTTTTGGATGCTGCCAAGCCAGAGCCAAATTCAGACACCATCTTGCTTCGTCGTCGAAGACTCCAAGCACAAGCACAACAACAACAGCAAGGGAATGTGACTAATACTACAGTCACAGAAGTCAACGGAACCATGGCCTACAATCAGGCTTCTTCAGGTCTGGACCCCAATAGCACCACTACAGTGGAAGATTTCCAGAGCGGTGCCAGATCAGTCCTATCCGTGACAGGCCAGTGTAGAGGATGCCCCGTCTCTGCGGCGGGAAGCTTTTCGCTCTTTGATGACGTTGTCACCCCACAATTTGAAAAGAGGAGGCTCTTGAAGGGCGCCATATTAGGTGATAGATCACTGCAGTCGGACACCCTTCCAGAAGATGAACTAAATGGAAACTCCACAACATGCACCTGCCCACTAGAGGAGCTTCGGATCGAAGCCTTTTCCAAGGATGACTTTCTGCAGTATTTCAATCAAACAGTTATTGAGTTGAAGGAAGAGGGACTCCTGCAGTCTGTGCGAGCAGTGGAGCAACTGGAGGAGGGGCAGAATGTAGAATGTGGCCAGGACATCCAAAGCTTCACAACAGCTGTGTTTGTTGAAATGAACGTGAAGTCAGATGAAGCCAAATACTTTGCGCAGCCCATCATGGAGGATACATTCAAGAACACCTACAATGCTTTGTCCTACTCTGTTTGCGATGGGGTGTTTAGGTCAGTGGCCCACCTTTAGAAACCTAAACTCTCCAGATGGTGAACGATACCTACAAGAAAGATCGCTGCTTGTCCCACGAAGTAACAGCAGTCTCTCCAACTTTACCAATATCGCTGCTTCCAACTTCTCTGCTGTTTCAAGTACCATCAATGAATCAACGTCACCAGTACTGGTGACAACGAATGTGTTTTCCATTGCTGGTCAGTGTAGGGGGTGTGCTGTCAGCGATCAAGGGTCATTTCGGCTCTTTGATGACATTTATAGAAGAAAGCTACAAGAATCAACTCCCCAGATGATGGTTGAGACTGGATTCTTGCAACAACAAAGCACTGTTGCGTCTTGCATTTGTCCTGTGGGGGTCCTGCCAGGAGAAGGGGGTGACATCTCTGCTTCTGAGTTTGGCATTGTGTTCAACGAGCAGCTGAAGAAACAAATAGAGGCCAGTTCTTCCCAGAAGTCAACGTGACAGTGCATCGTCTTCTCGAGGGGCAACAAGTCGAATGTGGGTCAAGCCAAAAGATATTCAGCAGACAAGTCAGCTCAGGCTTGAGGCTGAATCTTACAACCCTGTCCAAAGAGGAAGTTTCTGCGTTGGAGCAATGCTTTCAGAAAACTTACAACAATCTTGCCTTTGAGGGTTGTGATGGCCAATTCAGTATGTTTGGATATAGTTCCTAGACTCCTTTTGAACAAGCTCACTGTCCCTCACTATGCTTTCCCCCCCAATATTTGTAGGGACGCTGGGGAGGGTTCAGCTCCAGCTTGTGCAGCATTACAATGTTTCAAACCAAATGATCCAGGATGGAGAATCGAATGTTACTGGAAGTGAGCCAGCTGGTTTTACCGGAAGTGAACCAGCTGGTTTTAACACAACTGAGCCACAAAATGTGTCTTCGCTTGTTAGATTCCTTGTAAATGGAACCTGCAGGAATTGCAACCTCTCAGATACATGCAGTTTTGCCCTGTTCGATGAATCTTCTGCCAGGGCTCTGGCTGAGGGTCAGTTTGATCCCAGTGGGCTCCCAATCTCATGGAATCAAGGTACAAATGATGTATGTGTCTGTCCTTTTGGTACTCTTGCTGGATTTCAGCAAGGTCCTTCTGTGCTGGAATTTCTGGAGGCCTTTCTTGAAGAAATATCAGCTCTCATTGAGGAAGGAGTTTTGGTGTCTGTGGAGCAGCTGCCTACATTCTTTTCTGAAGGATCCAGGGCTGGCTGTTCAGAACAGGTTGTGATTGAGGTGACCACCATAACAGAAGATAGCACAAGTTCCCGAAATGACAATGCCACGCTGTCTCCAGTCTCAGCACCTATCTCTACAAAGGCAAACACAACAGACGACTCCGCAATGCCCACTGTCAGGCCATCTCAGCGAACCCCCCAACCAGCAAGTGGGCCAACAACTCCTCCTACAACCACGCCTTCGCGTAGTCCATCATCTTCACCTATTCAAAAGCCAACTCCAGGACCTACTTCATTTCCCACGCCTGGCCCTACTCCAGAGCCTACTCTAGCTAGAGCCAACACCAGAGCCTACTCCAGAGCCAACACCAGATCCAACACCAGTTCCAACGCCAGTTCCAACTCCAACGCCCTCTCCTGAACCGACACCATTACCAACCACTAAGCCCACTCCAAGACCACCAACATCCCCAACTCGAGACCCAACCACCACGCCTTCATCACAGCCTAGTTGTAAGTTCATTGACCAGTGGTGTAAGACCACCCAAATCAGCAGCATTAGTGCCTACCAAATACAAAACAACCTACTCCAGTTTCTGGCTCCACAGTGCGAAAAGACTCACGCTTGCCACCTTCTGTTTTTGAACAGCGCTGCCAAGCCAACATCCTTCTTTGTCCCCATCTTCATCTCCTACAGTTTATGGCTGCCCTGATCCATTTGCTACAGTTGAAGCACAATATGTTCTTGTCTTCTCTGGCAGTACAGAGAGTCTGTCTGATCTTGACTTGGAAGATTCCTTTACTGCTGCAGATGCAATGCTAGAAAAGGAGGCATGTGATCCTTTTGTCCTCAGCGCAAATCTACAGAAGAGAATAGATTCTATGCAAGTTGTGAATTTTATTGTGGAATCTATGCAAGTGAATAACAATTTTATGTATTCAACTGATGCTGAGATGGAAGAGTTCATCGCTGGTTTCAACTCAAACCCTAGGTTACAAGCAGGTGAAGTGAGGGCTGAGGGAATCCTGTCCAGTTACAATACAGTGAATCCATCAGGCTTGCCATCCTTCAGTCCAAGTGACTTCCCAAGCCTCAACCCTTCGATTGTTCCATCACAACATCCAAGTACGGTAAGCCCTTCAAATGTTCCCAGCCACACTCCCAGTAAGCTTCCCACTACTGGACCAAGTTCTGTTCCAAGCACTATCCCTTCAGGCTTTCCAAGCACTATCCCGAGTCTAACCCCAAGCAGGGAACCAAGTTCTACTAGTCCAAGTGAAACTCCAAGCACTGACCAAAGTGAAAATCCAAGCACACGTCCAAGCCACGCACCAAGCACCATCCCCTCAAATGGCCCCAGCGTCAGTCCCTCTCAGACACCTTCTAGTTCTCCAAGTAATGTGCCAACTTTCTCTCTCTCTCATAGACCCAGTGTGAACCCATCTTCAAGTCCCTCTCTGGTCCCTTCGGTAGTACCCTCCCAATCTCCGTCTGTCAACCCCAGCACATCACCGAGCAATGTACCATCCGGGTATCCCAGCTCCACACCAACAAAAACACCCACCAAGGTCCCAACTAGGCTACCTACAAGGAACCCCACACAGCCACCCACGAGAAATCCCACCAAAACTCCCACTGAAGCACCCACTAAAGCTCCAACACAGGCCCCAACCAAAGCACCAACCGGGTTGCCTACCCGGGCACCAACCAAAGCTCCCACCAAAGCACCAACCCAGTCTCCCACTGAGGCTCCCACCAGAAACCCTACGAAAGCACCTACAAAAATTCCAACACCAGCCCCCACTGCAGCACCCACTTTTGCAGGTGACAGCTTCCCTCAGTTGTTCCTTCGTTGTATGATTCGATTCCTGTGACACGACTGACCAAGTTTTCTTTTCCCTTTACAGTGATAAATGACAAGACAGAGCTTGCTGCTGCCCTAAACACTGGAACCTCCTTCCAACCAATCCCCATGGACCCATTGAGACATGGGATGTGTCCAGGATTACTGATTTGGCAGGGTAAGTGCCTCAGAATCTTTGATCCATGCACACACAAAAACTGCTTTCTAACAATAATGCTTCAACTATGATGCAGTAAGTTTGGGTGCACTGGATCCTGAAAACTGAGCTTTGAATTTGTACACAGGTCTTACACTGGATCATTCATAAAGATGCCATGGGTATCTCAAGCCCATTCGCCCAGTACTTTACATTCAACGAAGACATCAGCTTGTGGGATGTTAGTTCTGTTACTACTTTTTCAGTAAGTACATCCCAATTTTGCATGTGAATGTCTTCTTCAGTGGCTGAATAAAATCCTGACAACCTGCCAGAACCTCCTTTTGGATGCTCCTGCCTTCAACCAGGATTTGAATAGCTGGGATGTCAGCAAGTCTACTGACTTTTTTGGCATGTGCGTTGGATACTTTTGTTGCCCATGCATCCCACATGCGTACATTCAGCTCTCCCTTCTTTGATGCTCACATTGTTCCCCCACCTGCAGGTTTAGTGGTGCTATAAGTTTCAATGGTGATATTTCAAGTTGGAATGTTGCCGGATCCACCACTTTTCTTGGCATGTATGTATACAGTCACAACAGTATCCCCCCCCCCCCAAAAAATGTAGTTGTACATGGTTCTAACCTCTCCTCATCTAATCACATGTATGGTGTAGGTTCCAGGGTGCAACTTTTAACAGAGACATTTCATCTTGGGACGTCAGCAATGCACTCGATTTTTCAAGCATGTTTGCTACTAATGCTGTGTTTAACATAGATATCGCGGCATGGAATGTTGGAATGGGCACTACCTTCGATCAGATGTTCAGCGGTGCTAGTGCCTTCGATCAGGAATCTCTCTACTTTTTGTGTCTTCATGAAGTATTGCTGACACATGATGTCTTACAAGCGTATACTCATGCCATCTTTTTTCTGCTCCTCTCTTTTCCAGGATGTATCTGGTTGGTCCGTTAATTCGGCTTTCCAATTCGACTTCATGTTTCAAGGTGCAAGCCGTTTCGGTCAAGATCTCTGTCCCTAGGGGACCATCATGGATCCAGGTGCCACAGTAGGGGCTATGTTTCTGGTTCTGGATGTGCTGTCACAAGTGATCCAAACTTGGCAACCTTTCCTCGTGGACCACTTTGTGCAGCGTGCTAACGAAGAACTGAAAATGCATCGGTATGGGAAGGACCCTTTGCAAAGCTCATGCATGTGCATCACTACTAAGCTACGGCCAGGCTGCAGCTATTGTGGCAGCGTCGTGTGGCAATCCATTCAGCCCGCGATCGATGGGACGTGCCCATAAGCGTTTCAAGTGGGTGAACGAGGCATTGATCTTTTCGTCGTCTTTCTTTGGCGACGACGATTTGCGTCGCGCTGGTATCGAAAGGGATGGATCACTTGGGACATGACAACAGATATCTACATACATGTTCGCCCCCCGCAACTGAAGTGATGGATGGAGGGCTGCCAAGCTGCCAACCAAGTCACTCCAAGCTAGGGAGGTTCTGACTAACCATCGCCCTACGTACGGGTATGGGTATTTTTATTACTAGCCGGCTGCCCCACGCCCCATAGGTACCGTATCAGATGGCATTCGTACTGGTTTCGCGCTTACAGGGAAAGTTCTGCACTCACATTTTCAAGCAATTTACATGGTCGAGTCATTGAAATTCGGGACCGTACAGAGGCACCGGTACCAAGCCATCTGAAACATTTCCCGCTCCCAACTCTCCTCCTCTACACCGAACCAATCATTCATTCTGTGCGTGAATCGATCCCTTTCAATCCAGAATAAGTGAAGGACAGCAAAGCGTGAAACGGCTTCCTCGCTCGATGGTGACGATCTGAGCACGTCATTTGGAGTCCATCATGGAGCTACATGCAACGTTATGTGCATGGCAGGTTCCTCTACTGAGGAATTCCTCAGTGAGGTGGGGTCGAGGTCAACATCCTCCCTGACACGTCTGCTATTTGAGGCTAAGTTATTGAGACAGGTGACGGCAGAACGACTCTATCTCCTTTGTTTTGATATGCTCGCAGCATGTCGTGTTGGCTTGGCTGGCTTGGGACGTCGCAGCAATTGGGAAGGAAGCGCCGTCAAGATGAATCGACATCGCTTTGGATTCGCTCTCTTGGATCAGGAAGAAATGAGCCGAGGGTATTGTTTCGTGGCTGATCAACAAGTTCCGCGATGCTGAAACTTTCAGAGAAGTCACTGTCGAGTCGCTCGCTCCTCGAGTACAACCATGCATCGACTGATCCTACGAGCATCACCCCGACTTCTTTCGTCTGATTAACCTAAGCTTCACTACACTACACTAGCTAGCCAACTTGCGCCACGATGCCGATGGTGTTTCAGCCGCCGTGGGGCCGGGCGAAAACGGCGAAATTGGTGTCTGCTGAGAAGAGCAATGGAAGGAGCACCATCCAGCCAGAAACGAGCGATGAAGGAGCAGACACTGATTCGATTCGAATCGAATGATTTTAAATCGCAGGCTCACCTTTCCAAACAGTTCCTCCACACCACATCACTCCAGACGGCTCGATAGTATTGTATTGCTTAGGTTCTCTTGCGTTTCTTCAGGGGTGGCTGTCACATACATTTCACCGAGCATCGACGGACGGCAATATAAGTGGGAATGTGAAAGCCCTTCCTTGGTAGCAGCATCGCAAATAATAACAGAATCAACAGTCATCAAACGCTGCTCCCGTAGGAACATGCCCTGCTGCTTGAAAGATGACTCAGCTTTGAAAGGTTTTGGATCCGCCCTTGGTCGTAAAGACTACTAGTCTACTGCCTCCAAAACTCAATTTTCCTACTCTCAAATGATGTTCTTCATGCAGACCCGTATCTCAATTGCCCTTGTGAAAGCTACCCATTTATGTCTCCGTGGATCCCGCAAAGCCAAACCCTTTGCCCCCCGTAATGGTCCTCAATTTCTTGCCCCTGATCCCACAGAACCTAGTCCTGAATTTCGACTGTTCTTTGCTTAAGCCTGGCCCCGGCTGGCTTCCGTAGATAATTTCCCTACTCTAAAACCCCCCCTTATCTAGTAGTAGCTAGACACTGTTTCTCCCCGGTCGTGACCCAGTCCCATGTGCTTGCTCACCAATCCTCACATGATGGGTGGCGTACGTTCCAAGAGGCAGCCCCTTGGAGTTGACATCTGCGTGGCACAAGTCTGCAGGCAGCTATGCATAGCTATTGCAATAGCTATCTAGTAGATCTAGATAGTTTTGCTCGCTCAACTACATGTATTAATAAAATTGGACCGTACATTCCTGATGTAGAACCTTAACCTTGTCTGTCAGATTTTGTTTCTCCTAACCCTAATGGTGTATCTTTACAACGGCTCCATCATGGTCACCACCTCAGGAACAGAGACGGCGTTCAAAGATTTTTCCTTTGAGAATGCAAAAAAGATATCGGCAAGATCTGGCTGAAAAGAGAGAGAGAGAGAGAGTAGTCGCGTTGGTCATTGTCTCTTTGTTACATCGTCCCTGTTGTGACTACCATACATACAGACTGTATTGGTCTAGCTAGTAGTAGTTCGTTGAGAGAAGAGCATCTAAAGGAGGTTTCGTAGTGTTGTTGTTGTGTGTGTAAGAAAACAACCATGGAGTTGGACTCGGGAACACTGACTCATGTGGCGGCGGTGCTAGTGGGCGTTGTGGTCACGGCGATTGTCGCTCAGCTCTTATCGGGCGGCAGCAGCAGTAAGACTGTCGAAGAGGCTCCTGCTGCTGCAGGCGGTGGAGGCAAGAAGAAGAAAAAGAAGAAAAAGGCAAAAGCCACCGAAGAGGAAGCTTCAGAGACGACCAAGCAAGCGCCCAAGGCAGCCGAGCCAACTGCCAGTAGTGGCAAGAAGAAGAAGAAGACCAATGGCAACAACAGCAATAGCGACGCGGCCGACAAGGAGAACGCCGCGGAAAATGGCGCTGCCAATGGCAAGAATGGCAAAAAGAAGAAAAAAGAAAAACAACAACAAACAACAACAACAACAACAAGGCAACACAGGGTGGTGGTGCTGCTGAGTAGCAGTGAAAAGACCGATTTCCAAAAGGCCAATGCCCCGGCTCCAGCTCCTGTTTACGTGGCTCCCGACTCCAGTAGTCGCTCCATGAGAAGAAGAAGAATGGAACGACGTGGCGTCGTCCAAGAAAAAGAAAAAATCCCAACGTCCCAAAAAAGTCGCCACCGCTGCCGCTGCCGCTACGAGTGCTCCCACGTCGTTGACCGAAACGCTCTCGATCGACGCCAAAAAGGTGGGCATCATCATCGGCCCCAAAGGAACTACCATGGAAGCCATCAAAGTCGCCACGGGGTGTTCCTTGGAAATCAATGCCCCTGCTGGCAGTGAAGACAACAAGAAACCTTTGCCACCCGGTGCCAAGGCGGGTGTCATTATTCAGGGATCCACCAAAGAAGACATTCTCAAAGCCAAAAAAGCCGTCCAAGAACTCGCTGCCAAAGGATACGCTACGCTATTGCAAGGAGACAATTTCGGAGAAACGGGCATTGAAGTCCATCCGCGATTCCTCAGTGAAATTGTCGGTCCTTCCGGACGCACCATTCAAGCTTTGCAAAAGACGCTCGATGTTAAAATCACCATTCCTCCGACCGATTGGAAACCCAACGCCCCCCAAGTAGTAGTCGGTGTCGTCAAACCGTGTCGCGTCGGGATTGCCGGATCAAAGGAAAATGCCCGCAAATGCAAAGAAAGCATTCAAAATATCATGCAGTATCATTACGATGCCGTCTCTCATCCCGGTGTCATTCACGAAGAAGTCTACGTCCCACACGAATTCTTTCATTGTGTCATTGGTCCGCGTGGATCGGAAATCAAACACATTCGTGGCAATTACAAGGTCGATGTCTACATGCCCAATTCCGAATCCGTCAGTGAAAATGTCATTGTCGTGGGCAAACAATCCCAAGTTGACAAGGCCATTTCCTACATTCAACTCTTGATGGATCGTGATACCGAACAACGAAACAAAAAGTATTCTGATGAGTATTATGGATAAGTACCTATCTTACTTACTAAATAAGAATACACACAAAGACGACAGAACAGACGAGACGAGACAAAGAGGAACGGGCAGGGCGCTATTATTACTACCTACACGACAACAAACAAACCAACCAAAACAAAAATGAACGCACACACACACACTACTACTAATACACTCACCTACGTTGGTCGGCATGCATCCATCCATCTATCTACAACAGCAGCCATCTCGCTGTTGTAGTGCCGATCGATCTAGCCAACCAACAACAACCTAATTAATTAACTAACTAACAACAAACAAGAAAGCAAAAGCAAGCATCGTTGGGCCTATCTAGCTAGCTAGCTAGCTAGTACAGTACCGGTAGGTAGCGTCCATCGGAGCAACAATTCCGAAACTACAAAGAGTCCAACGAAACTTACGAACGAAAGAACGAAAACGTAAAAGAAACCAAAAGTGTGCTGCTCGCGTCACGTGCGGTCCAATCGCAATCAAGGGTCATGCCGGTTTGATCGACTTTATACTTTAAAAGGGGGGTGCTTCCTTGTCGGCATGCTCGATTCCAGCTGCATGCCTGCTCAGCTAGATAGCTACACCTCGTGCAGTAGCGTCATCTCCTGCTACAGAAACTAACTTCTGGCAAGGAATGAATGAATGAATCTTCTGCAATTTAAGACTGCGACAGCTCCACACTGCGGAGCGAGGTCAGCCGTTTTCGTGCACAGGACCGTGCCGTAAGGACTCAACTCACTCTCTTCTCTTTGTGTCGTTCGTTCGTTCGTTCGTTCGTTCGTTCGTTTCGTCGGTCAGCCACGATACGGCTGGCCGCGTGGGTGGGCTTCCCGAGACGCTTGGAGAAGCCTGTCTGGAATTGTGCCTCACCACGTACGGTACGTGTTGTTGAACCTCCAAGGGCACGCATCGACTCGACTGTTTCTTCTACCAGTCCGGATACTGTTCCCTGCCGATTGAACCGATCAAGCTCCGACTTTCTGCAGTCCACTCTGTGATGCTTGTGGTTACCAGTACCCCAGCTACCTTGCCCGATGAAGCTGGCCATCCCCCCATTCAAGGCATAAAAACGTCGCGGAGGCCGTAACCTGAAAGCTTGTACCGGACGGAAAGAAAGCCAGGAAAGCAACCCTCAAAAAGATCAAAGGAAAATACTGTTGCCTGTGTGCCGCACCGAGTTCATGGATCGTCGTGCCACCGACACGATGGATTGTGCGAAATGAGGCAAGCCAACGCTTGTGAAAAGTCCACAACATTCCGCACGACGCTGAAACGTTTCTGTTGAAGGTGGGGTAACCGTGCAGTGAAATGAAGCGAATCCCCCGTCGCCAAACACACCTAAATGGAAGAGTTCGTGAGGTTTGCCGAACCACATAGATGGCAGTGACTGTTCCTTGCATCTTTTTGCTTACTACGATAGGAATAGCTGGGTTAAAGACAGATGGAACAGAGGGGAGTGATGGGGACCAACAAATTGTCTGGGTCCGGAGATGTAAGCTCACACAAGTTAGCTCCGGTGAACATGGTCGTAGTAGTAACTTGCACATCCGTTCTTTTAGCAGAGGTATAGTGGCCAGGTGACAGCAATGGCATGAGAATTTTTCCCAACATCAAAGTGGGGGAGTTCCTGTTGCAATTCCAGAAGACTTACCTCATTTTGTTGCCCCAAGCACACAAGTTTTGATTGAAGCTGTTGGCACCAAAAAATGTTTCCTTTTGGTGCACATGTGAGCTACAGTGGCAAAATTGGCATGCCTAAAGCAAGCAAGGGAAGAATCGTACCTCAAATGTTCTCACTTTATCTATGTTCCAAACAGATATATCCTGACAAATGCACAAGCCAAGGGTACCATCAGAGGACAACATAAAAAGTCACACAACCAATGCAACACAAGGTATTCTATCCTTTACCTGGTTGAACATGACAGCAGCCTTAAATGTCCCACGCATAGAGGTCAAACTCGAATCAAAGTTCCACCCAGTAATGTCTTGGTTGAATTGGTTGGCCTCGTCAAACATACTGCAACAGAAGAGACATCAGTACAGCAGTGTCCAAGGCAAGTCCAACCTAAAACAAGCCACACATTCTCACTCACAAGTTCAGGTTCTGCGTGCTTAATAGTTTCTCATTCCAGTTTGAAAGAGGCCTGTTGAATGGTGTGTTTTTGAACATTCGAACAAAGTTTTTGCAGGATGACACCTACTCAAAAAAAAACTGAACGTCTAATAACGGATTCAGACGAGATGTGCTTGAGGACTACCCACGAGCTAAGGCTCACCTACTCAATATCCACAAAAGCAATCATCAGAAATGACACCACTGAGATAAAAGGCAAAAGAAATGTCCAACAACTCACATCCCAGTTTGAAACATCTTGGTTGAAATTCCATGCATCCTAAAATTGAAGGGGCATTATGTCAGAGATTGACACCCAAAGAGGGCAAAGCTTGCCTGAAAAGTCATACCATAAACCTGTTGGCACAGAGAATGAAGTCAATGGGTAAGGAACTTAACCATTGAAAGGACAATATCAGCTCAACACTCCAAATGGTCACCTACATTCTTTCCAAAGAAATAATTCCCTGAACATCCCATGTTGAGACAACACTATTGAATGCATGGGCATCTCTGAAACTACCAGCACGGAGTTGATTTTTGAATGTGAGGGGCAATCCAACACAACTTTCACTGATGGCAATGGTACTACTTACGTGCCATAGAACGAATCAGACTTGCTGACATCCCATCCAGAGAGGTTTTGGTTGAATTTGTCAGCTCCGTAAAAAGTCTCCTGTATTCTCAGTGCACAAGTGAGCTACAATGTGAAACTTGGCATGCTTGAAGCTAGGGAAGAAGCATACCTTAAAAGTTGTAACACTTGATGTATCCTGTACCATATTTCCAAAGAATGGTTAAGTCAAGAAATCTCATGGCATCTCCAGAATCGTTCTTTAAAGCTTACCCATGCAGATATATCCTCATTGAAGTTAGCAACATCAAAGGTAGAACCGGCAGCCGGCGCATTTAGGGAAAATAACCCTTCAAAGTTATCCACACGAGTGACATCCCTGTGACAATTGAGACAGTAGTATGAGATGGACCAAGACGGGAGGAGGCTGGCTGCATTCTCCACTGTGACAAATGATAAAGTAACTCACCATGTCTCAATCGGACCATAGACAGAGCTTGCGTCGTAGATTTCCCCATTCAAAGCAAGAATCAGCTCCTCCTTGCTACCAATGACTGCAAAAAGAGGAGGTGTTAAAAACAACATAAAATCCAACACCAGACAATTCAATCTACTTACTGCCATCATTTGTAGGAGTTGTTGTGGGAACTGGTATTGGCATGTTTGTAGGTGCTTGTGTAGGCACTTTGGTGGGCACGCCAGTTGGAGCTTTGGTTGGACCTTGTGTAGGCACTTTTGTGGGCACTTTAGTGGGAGCTTTGGTTGGTGCCTGGGTAGGACCTTTAGTTGGAGCTTTGGTTGGTGCCTGTGTGGTGCTTTAGTGGGAGCTTTGGTTGGTGCCTGTGTAGGACCTTTGGTGGAGCTTTGGTTGGTGCCTGGGTGGACTTTAGTTGGAGCTTTGGTTGGTGCCTGTGTGGTGCTTTAGTGGGAGCTTTGGTTGGTGCCTGTGTGGGACTTTGGTGGGTGCTCTGGTTGGTGCTTTGTGGACTTTGGTGGGCTTTGGTGGGTGCTCTGGTTGGTGCTTGTGTAGGCACTTTGGGGAACTCTAGTGGGAGCTCTGGTTGGTGCTTGTGTAGGAACTTTGGTGGGAACTCTAGTGGGAGCTCTGGTTGGTGCTTTTGTAGGCACTTTGGTTGGAGCTTTGGTTGGCACCCTTGTGGGTACTGTGGATGGCATAGTGGTTGGCAATTTTGTAGGCTGGGTGGTGGGAGCTCTGGTGGGGGAAATGGTCGGTTCCTGGGTTGGTCCTCTTGTTGGTGCCTTGGTGGAGACTTTGTTGGATTACCAGGAGAAATGGTTGGTGGGGGTGGGGGAACTGGTAGGAAGCCTTGTTGGCTGGACTGTTGGTGCTCTGCTAGGAATGCTTGTTGGAGTTTTGGTTGGAACTGCTGTTGGTGACTTTGTGGGAGCCTTTGTTGGACTACCAGGAGTAACAATTGGCGGTGAAGTGGGGCACTGGTAGGAAGCCTTGTTGGCTGTATTGTTGGTGTTCTGCTAGGAATGCTTGTTGGAATTTTTGTTGGAACTGCTGTTGGGGACTTTGTGGGAGCCTTTGTTGGACTCCCAGTAGACACAGTTGGTGGTGAGGTGGGGGCACTCGTAGGAAACCTTGTTGGCTGGATTGTTGGTGTCCTGGTAGGGGCAATAGTTGGAATTTTTGTTGGAACTGCTGTTGGTGACTTTGTGGGAGCCTTGGTTGGACTACCAGGAGAAACAGTTGGTGGTTCAGTAGGAAACCTGGTAGGCTGGCTTGTTGGGCTTCCACTTGGATCACCAGGCGAAAAAGTTGGCTTTGGAGTGGGTGAATTGGTGGGCTGTCTCGTTGGCATGTGTGTAGGTGGCGTTGTAGCAGCATTGGTGGGGTTTCCAGTTGGTGACATTGTTGGGTTTCCAGTTGGTGACATGGTTGGGGTTGCTGTTGTTGGGCCTGCAGCAGGAGCAGAAGGAGAGACAGATGGCAGTGGAGTTGGTGTATTGCTTGGTTGTTCAGTGGGTGGTTTTGTGGGTGACCTGCTGGGTGGTATTGTTGGACCCCCAGTAGGAGTTTGGGTTGGCTCATTGGTAGGAGGAGGGGAGGGTGCTTTGGTTGGACTAAAGGTAGGCGATGGTGTTGGCAATGATGTCACAATATCAACAGCCTCCAGTGAGTTCCTTTGCATTGCTGGAAAAGCATTGAATGCAGCTAGAAAAGTGGCCTTCTCAGCATTTGTCTGGTACATGAAGGCATTGTTGACTTGAAGGGATTCCACCACAAGGGCTGCTATGTTGCCAGTAGTACCTTGCAGTCGCCTCTGGGTCGTGCGCCCTTGGACTGTTGCATCCAGAACAACAGGATCGCATGCCTCCTTTTCAATGGCAGCATCGGCTGAAGTAAAGGAGTCTTCCAAGTCTAAATCAGAGGCAGCTGCAGCATCCTGCAGAAAAATTACATAGTAGATGGCCTCAACAGATCCAAAAGGGAGGCTACAAGCCATGCCTGATGGGCTTTCGGATGGAGTGAAGCTAGGTGGTAGTGTTGGAGTCTCAGACGGCCCTGGTGTGGGACTTGAACTAGGCACATTGGTAGGTCTTGGAGAAGGTGGAAGTGAAGGCCTGGGGGTTGGCCCAGGAGAAGGCTTGGGAGTTGGAAGTGGTGTTGGCTCTGGTGTGGGTTCTGGAGTTGGCTCTGGTGTGGGTTCTGGAGTGGGCTCTGGTGTAGGATTTGGAGTTGGCCCTGGTATAGGCTCTGTTGTAGGGGGTATGGTAGGCCTGCTGGTGGGTTGAGGAGTCGGAAACAGGGTAGGTTTACTAGTTGGTACCCCAGTGGGGCCAGGTGACGGTCCCAAGGTTGTTGGTTGATTTGTCCCCAATTCAGACTGCTGTGCAGGAGCAGAACTGGGACTCTTTGTTGGGCTGCGTGTTGGAGACATCATTGCTGGTGAAGCTGTTGGTTCAGATGTTGGGATAGGGATGGGCATTGTGACTGGTTCTGCAGTTCTTGGTACTGCTGTGAGGTTTTGATCCCAAGTTTCGCCAAAATTGTCATCTGTGCTGCAATTGTAAAATGCTGTGACTACCAGACTATTCACTCGAGTAATAGCACTTGAGGTAGTGCTGGATTCCATCCCAAACTCCAGAGAAAGACTCCCAGAAGGAAATAGCCTTGGTGGAACACTAAAATGTACACCTTTTCTCTCTCCACCCACACCCAAGCTAACTGGTTCCATTTCCCAGGTGATGCCAGTTCCACCAAGAACATTGAGAGACCCACTGCTATTAGTTTGTTGCAGGTCTTCAAAATAGGTTGTGGAACCCATGATCTCCACATAGAACCTGTCACCTGCCATCCATTCTTCAATCACATAGAGAATGAACCGTACTTCCACACTGGTCACAATCACTGGTTCTAGGCTGGAACTCATTGGAACTGCTACAAGTTTGGTCACACTTTCACCATTGCTGCTGCTGAGAGCTTGTTCCCAGTTTTCCTCTAAGAGAACTACCTCAGAGGCACATGTGTGTGGTGCTGGAGTACTACCAGGGTTGGAACTGGCAATTCCTGGAGGTGCTTCACTGCCTGGATTGAGAGACTGCTCTGGTGATGGCTGGGGAGTTTGGCCTGGTGTCATGCTGACTGCCACTGTTGGCTCTTGGGTTGTTGGCACCACTGGAGGCAGGGTAAAGTCATCCAGTGTTGTTGTCCTCCCATCCCAGGAAGACAGTTCAATAATGGTTAGGATGTCTTCCACTGAAATGACTGCACCATCAATCTTGGCATCATTGATCTGACCAATGAACTCTTCAATGAATTCTTCAACTGTGACAGCTGGCTCCACCCCAGGCTCCAAACCCTGAGGGCAAATACATGTATTCATGTTTGCTTCCAGACTCCTTCTCCACAATGAGTCTCTCCTGTGCACTGATGTTGCTCTTCGCTGAGTTTGCTGACCACCCGTACTGTTAAACAGGTTGAATACCGCATTGATAGAGAGTGGGCAATTTCGACATCTTCCTCTGATCAAAAACAAGGCAAATGTGTTGGATTCAAGGGGATTTGTCTCTGATTGGTTGGAGCTTGTGTTCATTGTGTGGAGATGGGCAGAACCATAACCAGAACCAGAAGATTCTGTAGTGTTCAAGGTAGAATTGGAGTGAAGACTGCTGTTGGTTGAGTTGGCCTGGACAAAAGCATAGACTTGCTCAAGCTGACGCCTACCAGGGCCAACACCAGCATCCACAACAAGATCAACCTCAGCGACAACACGGAAGAATCCATCGCACGCTCTGAATGAAAGACTGTTGTAGGCAGCCTCAAAGGCCTCTTCCAAGACTTGAATCTCTTCTGCGGAAAGCAGAGCAGGGTTGACTCCAATATCCACATGCACAGCAGCTCGAAATTCTTGAACAGCAGCGCTGCATGTAACCTCCTGTCCTTCTGAAACATCTGTTGCTGGGACAGCCACCGAAGATGAAGATAGTATGCCCTCTTCAATCAGAATTTCCACATTCTCGATAAATGCCTGTTCAAACTCTTTAGCTGTTGGCCCTTGCCCAATCCCAGGTTCAGTTCCAATGGGGCAAATGCATGTACCATTTTCTCCCAGCTTTCTTCTTGCCAATTCATGGCCATGGTTTGAGAAGTCCTTGGAGAGGGCCCTCCTGGTCCCAGAATCAAAAAGATTCCAGTGTCCTTTGTCTGACACATCGCAGTTCCTGCAAGTGGCAACAATAGAGAATAATGTTGCACCAATTCCGGTCGGCTTTGTGGTTGAAGCATTGGCAAAATCAGCCTCAGAACTGATGTTAAAGGAGGTTTCATTGGATGTACTGTTTGATAGTTCCATCATCCGACGAGCAGGGAACATGTTTTTGGATGCACCAACATTGAGCTGAACACTCTCAATCATTCCTGTACAGCAAAGGCGCTTAAATCAGCTGCTGGATAATTGCAAAGGCCAGATGTTGAGTAGTTTACTTACGAAAGTGCCCATCACAGTTTCCAAAAGCCAAGTTTTGATAAGTTTTTGTAAACTCATCTTCCAAAACCACCACTTCATCCACTGAAAGAGCTGTCAGATTGACTCTGAGATCTGAGAATACCTCAGTTGTAAACTGCTGGGGCATGGACCCACATTCAACGGCATGTCCTTCAATCACATTGTCTACGGTAACATTGACTGCTTCCAAGAATACATCGAGCTTTTCCTTCTCCACTTGCTCATTGAAGACCACTTCAAAATCTGCTGCTGACACTGGTCCACCCTCACCTGGCAGTACTCCTGCTGGGCAAACACACTTATCACCCTCACCTTGAAGAAAACGACCAGTTTCCAAACTCAGTCTAGCATTTGCTTCCTCCAGTCTCCGAGACCTTCTAAAGGTTTCATCAAACAAAGCAAAATGGCCATTGCGAGCCACAGGGCACCCCCGGCACTGTCCAGTGACGGAGAAAACTGTGGTGGTCTCCAGGCTCCTGAGTGGTGATGTTGACTGATTAATGTTGGGAATCACAGAACTGTTTGGTAATGTCCAGTTGGAGATGGGCCCATTAAAGGGAAAGGAGGTGTTCAGTGGCTCTTCCTGAAGCTTTCTGCCCTTGTTCCAGGCAGTCACATCTTGTTCTTTCAGACTGGCATCAGTGACAGTCCTGAAGTAAGAATCACATGCAGCAAAGGCCAACCCATTGTAGGTAGTTTTGAAGGTGTCCTCTAAGAGCAGCTTCTCCACTTCACCAATCTCATCAAGATTGACACTGATGTCCACAAACACTGTAGTAGTAAAGGTCGTCACCTCTCCTGCACAATCCACATCTTGTCCCTCTTGGAGCTGTTCAACACCAGACACAATTTCTAGCAACCCATCCTCCCGCAGCTGGACAACTAGATCATTGAAGTACTCAATGAACCCAGCCAATGACAAATCGTCAATTTGGTTTCCTTCTGTGGGGCAGATACATGAGTCTGAGTCACCAAGAAGATTCCTTTGAAGGGCGTTCTGGCCAGGGAACCTATCTGGGCCAACTGAAAAGAGAGATCTTCGGCGAAAAGAGTCATCAAAGAGCCTGAAGTTGGAATTGTCACTGACTGGGCAACCTCTACACTGGCCCGTGACAGCAAACACAGCTCCTGTTGTTGCCCTTACAACCCCCGCCAAGCCTGTTTGGTTGGGACTGTGAGCGAAAGATTCTTCTGGTTGTGTCATGGTAGAGTCGGTGGTATTGGCGAAGGTGCTGTTGGCATTTGAAAATGCAAGATTCCAGTTTTGTTGCAGTTTCCGTCTGATCAGAGCTGTGTCTGTGTTGGGCTCTAGTCTTGCCTCCTTGATGTTGCGAAAGTATGGATCACAGGACTGAAAAGCTAGTTGGTTGTAGAGACTGGCAAATTGCTCCTCCATCACATGCTGATCTTCCTCTGATAGAGTCCAGAAATCCCCACTCCGATTCATCTGCAAATCAATGTACACATAAGAAGTGAATTCTGTGATATCGGAACTGCATTGCACTTGCTGCCCTTCCATCACATTTTCAACCGTCACATTGACTGCCTCCAAAAAGACATCAAGCTTTTCCTTCTCCACTTGATCATTGAAAACAAGTTGGAAGTCATCCGTAGACACAGGTCCACCCTCACCCGGCAAAACCCCAGCCGGGCAAACACATTTGTCACCATCATCTTGAAGGATGCGCCCGCCTTCCAAGGAAATCAAAGTGGTTCTCTCTTGGAGACTCCTCCTTCTGAGAGTGTCATCGAACAAAGCAAAATGGCCATTGCTAGCCACAGGGCATCCACGGCACTGTCCAGTGATGGAGAAAACAGTGGTGGTCTCCAGGCTCCTGAGTGGTGATGTTGACTCATTGATATTTGAAACGGAAGTTGTACTGTTCAGGGTTGTCCAGCTGGAAATGGTCTCATTCTGGGAGTGGTGGGAGAAGTTCAACCATGTTTCTTGAAGCCTTCGGCCATTGTACCAGGGTGTGGCATCTTGCTCCTCCAGCTTAGCATCAATGACAGTCCTGAAGTATGAATCACATGCAGAGAAGGCTAGCCCATTGTAGCTAGTCTTAAAGGTGTCCTCCAATAACAGCTTCTCCACTTCACCAATCTCATCAATATTTACACTGATGTCCACAAAGACAGTGGTAGTAAAGGTCCTCACCTCTCCAGAACAATCCACATCTTGTCCCTCTTGGAGATTTTCCACTCCAGTGACTGTTTCTAACACACCATCATCCTGTAACTGGACTACTTCTTGGTCAAAATAGTTCAAAAAATCAGCCTTTGAAAGGTCCTCTATCCGTTGATCTTCTGGGGGGCAGAGACATGAAGAACTGCCACCCTGTAGATTTCGTTCCAGTACAGCCAAGGTGAGAGCACTCTCATGGCTATCATCAGACATGAGCGATCGCCGACGGATGGTGTCATCGAACAGCAAGAAATTCCCATTGCTGGTCACTGGGCATCCTCTGCATTGGCCAGTGACTGCAAAGATAGACCCAGTTGTTGCTCGTAACAGGGGGGTTGATGTCTGATTCGGATTATGATGAGGGGGGGCAGTCCCTGTCTGGTTGTAGTTGCTAGTGTTTGTTGAGTTCCCAGCAAAGGCAAGGTTGAGATCCAACTGTTGCTGCAGCCGCCGCCGAACAAGGGCCGTGTCAGTGTTGAGCTCCAGTTGTGCCTCTGAGACACTGCGAAAATATGGATCACAAGACTGGAAGGAGAGCTGGTTGTAGAGACTCTTGAAGCTGTTCTCCAGCACAGTTTGATCTTGCTCTGATAGTGTCTGAAAATCACTGCTGCGGTTCATCTGGAAGTCAATGTACACATAGGTAGTAAACTCCGTGACATCTGAGGCACATGGCACCTCTTGTAGCTCCATGTCATCCACTGGAGGAAGCTGGATCTTGGCAACTTCCAACATGAAAGCTTCCATGAATTCATCGAATGTGGGAGCACGGAACTCTGTAGTGTCATCTGGTCTAGGACAGAGACAGCCGTCATTTGTCAATCCAAACTCTTGCCGGACCAAGCTTGATGGTCGAGTTCGAACTGTTGATGTGCTTAGCGGTATCAACACAGAACCAGTGGTTGTTGTGTCATTGGAGGAGTGGAACAGAGGAGTGTCGTATCCACAATTCCTGCACTCAGCCAGTACCTCAAAAGTCACGGTGGTGACATTTCCAAAGGGATCAAATGCTGCTGTCTGGGGTTCTGCTCCCCAGACCTTGCGGAAATGGGGCCAGTCACAGAGAGGAAATATGATGTGATTGAATGCCTCCACAAAGGCTCCTTCAAGAAGGGCAGAAGCTGTCATGGTAACATTGACATCAGCTGTGGCAAGGGTCCTGTTGCTTTGAATCAAAGCACTCCAGTCTCCTGACAGATCTATGGCAACAGCTGTTTCCAGCTGCTGTACCAGTGGATCACACACAACTTCAACCACATGAATCAGGTCGTCCTCTTCATTCTGCAGGTTTCTGTGGGTCCTCTTGGATGGTCGGATGGATGTGATGTCTTGTAGAAGATCCCATGTGGACCTCTTCTTCTTCTTCTGCAGGCAAGAATCATTATATCCGCCACAGGATTCTCCTTTTTGCGTAGCATGATCGCTGTGCTGTTGATGTTGTCTGGAAAGCAACAGCTGCGCCCTCTGCAGCATGGCCTCGCGTAATTCCTGATAGCCGCCCATACTGTTGGTTTCAGACGACGTTAGTTGTTCTTCTTCTAGTGGTTGCCCCTGGCCACGAAGCCCTCGTCCTGACTTGGTTTCAGGTGGCATGGACTGATGATGGCTGGGACCCCTCGATGGCAGAAAACCAGCTGTCCTCAGAATGTCATGGTGCTCTTCGGGTACTGGCCCGGAACAACTGGGACCTCCACAGATACCCCGAATTGTGTAGGTCATTTCCAACTCTACTACAACTTCCTTATCCCTGGAAGTTGTAGGATTCTCTTGTTCGGGGGGTAATCTCAGTAACCCCTGAGGTTGGGCATGAACTGATACTAGCCTCGATCTCGAGGCCGGTGGTCTTGGTACTTCCTGCCAAAGCTGACTGGCTTTGTGGTGGTGGTTGAGGGTATCCAATAGGAGAGATTCCATTTGGGCAATATCTTGTACTGGAATCCAATCTTTGGATTTGGCTGATACTAGCAGTAGTTCTGTCGTGCCAGTCCACTCTGGGGGTAGCAATCTTTTGTGTTGATCTGTACAGTGGACTCTGTGGGTCAGGATCAACTGGGTTTCGAACTGTCGTTCTCCCGCTATGGTGGTGGAAGCCTCATTATTAGCAGTGCCTCTGTCGTCCACCGTATCGTCGTCGATCGCATCAACATGGAATCCCGAAAGGGGATCGTCGCTACCGGTAGAAGTGCCTCCAACATTGGCCGCCGCCACAGCGCTCGAGGGCATGGAAGAGCGAGACCGTAAACCCACGAGAAAGAGGAACCAGATCTTCGGTAACGGCAGCATGCTTCGATTGTGCGGATTCCTTCTTGACGTGTGGATAATATCGGCGTAGTAATCTAAGCAGTCTGTCCAAGCAATCGTTGCTCGGGTTAGTGGTTGTCGACGGTAGAGGCGGTTTCTAAAGAGGTGACTATTTCTGGGATGGGCTGTATACTGGAAACTCGAGGTCGGGGGCAGTGGAGGGGCTAGCTAGCTAGCTGGAGGCTGGCAAGATCGATCGATCGATCAGAGTTGGTGGTACATATTGGAGGCAAGAGGGCTAGTGTCGTGGTTGGTGTCTTTTTGCTTGAGAGAAAACGGGATAGTTCTGTCACTGGGTATTGGGTAAACCACTGTAGTAAGCTGTAAAAGCTATTCATCAGCGGGTCACCACGAACCCAATGTCCGTAAAAGGCCGGGACGGAGCGCCACCCACTCTTGGAAATGAGGCCTTGACTGTGCATGTTTGTACTCCAGCGAATTAACAGTAAGTTCTGTAGTCAACACAAGAAATCCTCTTTGTTCGTCTTCTCTCTCAATGGTCAGATGTCAGATGAGCTTCAGAAGCTATTGCTGAAATCAGGCTACCACAGAGACGGGTGCATCAACACTTTTTGTGACACCACGGCACCCAAACAAAATCATGGTTAGTTAGAGGAAGGTGTTACCAGTTACCAGGTAAAAACAGAAGAGGGTAGAGCTCTCAGAACCCGTTGGTTTGAGGCTGCGCCCCACACAATGGAGAGTCTTGGAGTCGAAGTCGTTCTAAATTCTCCGTACACTAGATAAAATTTAAAATTAGGTGTTCTATTACTCAGTAGCTTATATTGTTATCTTGCTTTCTACAGTGACTGCAGTGATGAGTGATGAATGATGACTGGTATGGTGAATGGTACATCGTATGGTGGGGCGTGGGGGCTACATGTATGTATGCATGGGGGATGGGGGGATGGAGTGATACCGTATACCGGTAGTTGATGAGTTGAACGAAGGAAAGGGATTGTCATTGTTACAAAGCTGTTTTCTTCTTTTGGTTTTTGGCCCTTTTTCTGGAATTCTCTGAAAGCGCGACTGTGCATGTTTGTACTCCACGGAATTACAGTGCAGTACAGCGAGAACCTCAATCACAAGTCAACCGCAAGCGGCAACCGCGGCCCTTGCTTCGTCTTTTTAAGAGCTTGAAAGCTTCGACTGTGCAAATATTTGTACTATTAAGACAGCGAATTTTAACATTTACTGGAGTACCCAAGTCATCACAAGTTAAGTCATACCGGTATTCCTTAAAAGGCTTGTCGAATTGATGGTCATTGTTGGAATTGAATCAGGCAACCAGCTGAAACCGGTACACTAGGCTTACAGTAGCTTCTCCAGAAAGGAGAAGGAAAGGTCATTGGTTTCGCAGCTGTTTCAGATGTATATGTATGAGTGTATGAGCTATGCGTACATACCGGTACATTGGTGAATGCTTTGAAGTTTTACCGAACAGTTGTCACAGCAGGTCACAGCGTCAAAGGGCTTGCAATAACTACTCGAGTACTGGAGTATAGTCGAGTAGTAAATAAATAATGAATGGATGAATGAATGCTGGCATCTGGCATGCTTTGAAGTTTCACCGAACACCGAACACCGAACAGTGGTCACAGTGGCTACATCGCTGCAAGCGTGTGGGACGGCATTGATTTTCTCCATCCCCCAAGCTCTTGAGGAATCTTCGAGTTGCGAGTTTTACGGCAGAGCGCATTTATTGAAGCTGAAGTTTGCTGGTCTCTTGCCTCTTGGCTCGATGCTTGATGGCGCGGATATAACAAAATCGCAGCGGCGGCAAGATCATAAATCCGCGATGAGGTAAAGCATTAAACAGCATTCTTTTGTTTGTCGTGGTGCGGTTCCGCGGTTCCTGCTTGCCTCTCTGAGGTGTGGCTATTGTTGGGGTACATAAGCTCTACATGTACCGGTACGATGTTCTCGCTAGCATTAGCTAGCTACGGTACCCACCCGAGGCGATGCGGGCTATGGCTAAATGGAGCTGCCCCCAAGCTCTCTTTGTTGCGTGCATTTACCCAGCAATCTTCTATTTGTCTGCATTTTCCATCACGAAGCCCCAATTTCCTCTTATGCATAGAACGATACCGGTACGAGTGCTAATCGCTACTTCTATCCTTCTCGTCCTTGGCTCGTCACAAAGCTCTGCCATCCGCACTTTGGCCCTTGACCGGACTATCCGAGCCCAACCTGCGTTTTGCTTGCATTTCTTCGCTTGAAGGGGAAAATGTGAGCGCATGCCGTGGGAATAAAATGTTAAATCTTTCAGACCTTGTTCCGAACAAATTCGGCAACAAAAATGAGACTGTCGCGGCTCCCAGGCCACTTCTCGAGACAAGACAACGAGGCACAAACTTGTTGCCGAAGGATCGATCTGTTCGATCATGAAGCCAAGAGGAGTATGGCGTGTTGGTGTGTTGGCAGTGATTGCAGCCGCCATGGCAGCGGCCAATCCTGCCAGCGGTAGTAGAAGGACCACCAAGGACGGACGCAAGCTCCAAGTCGATTGCTTGGAGTCGAATAGCGATGCAACCGAGACCAGTCGTAGTAGTAGTAGTGTCAATTGCAGCACCAGCAGCCAAGAACTACTGTCTGTCAGGATCCCCAAACCCATCTCGGATCACACGGCGACGTTGGTGGGCGATGAAAATGGCGCCCTCATTTATCTGGCAGGTGGTTGTGACGATCCCTATGGCAACAACATGCATGACCCAACCTTTCAGATTTTCTTGTGCGGTTCCATCTCCGATTCCTTCTACGCATTTAACCCGCTAACCGAAGATTTCATCAGTCTGCCTCCTATGCCAGTAGCCCGCTATCGACACGCCGCTGTGGCCATCAAAAATCAACTCGTATTGTTGGGAGGAAGGACACTCGCAGATGACCTGATTCCACAGGTAGATGTAAGTACTCCTCGTACCGAGCCAGCGGCAAAAGAAAGGGGATTGCTAGCTTTTTGCTCTCTAGGAGCAGAGGTGGAATTTTTTTTGTCCCATTCCATTCACTCATCCTTTTATCGAATCTGTATTGCAGGTGTTTGACATGAATTCCCAAAGCTGGTTTTCCTTTGCGCTTTCGTCGGATGTCGTGGCAGCGTCTGATCTGGCTTTTTGGGACAATGGCACACATGCCTTTTTTGCAGGTGGATATGATGTCACCTATACCGCCTTGAAGCAAGTGTTTAGTTTGCACAATTTACATATTGGAGCGTTCACAGTGACTCGTCTGGCAAATCTTGTGGAGGCACGTGGGGATGCGGCCGGTACTATTATCCATTCCTCGGGATATGCCTATGTGGGAGGTGGCTTTACACACGAAAACAATTTTTGTGCGCCCCTGGCCAGTGTGGAACGATACAGCCTTGTGGACGACTCTTGGATGGGCGTGGCGGACCTACCGGATGCGCGTGCAGACATGGTCCTGGTCAGTCTCCAGGACACGGTTGTTGCCATGGGAGGAGAACGTCAGGTGGAAGACATTTGCGACCTTGTAGATCCCGAACCAAGTGATTTGGTGGTGGCCGTGGACGATGTTGCCGTGTTGGAGGAGATGGATACCATGTGGCGGAGCATTGACTCTTTGGCAGTCCACAGGTTTCGATTTGCGGCTGTGGTGCACAACGACACAATCTACTCGTTTGGAGGACAAATGGCCTACGACGAAGAATGCGAGTGTCTGGCAACGACAGATGAGGTGATTGCGTATACGGCAACAAGTGCCCCCGCGCCAACGTTTGCTCCCGTCACACCCGTCCCCACGTTTCCCACGGATACCCCACGAGACATGGCGGTGCGTATGGAACTGGAACGCGTCGTTGGCGGGGTAGTCAACAATATCGTGGGACCATACAAGATGGCCATGGATTGGATCCTGTATGACGATCCCATGCAACTGCAGCAATACGATACAAACTTGGTTCAGCGATACATTCTGGCCCTGTTCTACTACCAGACATCACAGGATGCTCCATGGGTATCCTGCAATCCTCCGGCTGCCGGCGAAATGATACGTGCGTCTTTTATGAATACAAGAGGCTGGACGATGGTTCTTCCACGCATGAGCCAAGAGAGGAATCCCATATCCGATGGCTTTCCTCGAAACATGAATGTGAATGGGCAGAGATTCTGTGTGACACAGGTTTTCGGAGAAGAGTCATTGCGATTGATCTTGGTACGTTCGGACCCGCTCAGACTGATATCCCCTGATCGAGTCTGTGCTCACAGTCGCAACTGCGGTTTGCTAAATTATCAGTGGGGCAAGACCTTGGAGGAACAATGCCAAGCGAGTTGAGGCACCTTGAATACTTGTTGTGGTTAGTGCATTGCGTGCTTTCATTGAGACCAGCTCTGTCTTGCGCCGTTCTGAATGATGAATCTAACTGGAATTTGTGTGTCTCGTGTCCATGACAGGCTTTCACTGAGTTTCAACCAGTTCTCGGGAGAAATTCCAGACGAGTATGGGCAATGGCCATACCTCACGATCTTTGAAGTCAATTCAAACTTGCTAACGGGGCAAATTCATCGGAAATCTTTGACCAACGCAATCTTCTTCAACTGGATCTGTCCTTCAACGAATTCAGTGGCACTTTGCCCTCGACCATCGGCAAACTACTTCTCTCCACTCCTTATTCTGATGAACCTTGGATTGAGCGGAACCGTCCCTACTGAAATTGGCCTGATGGAAGACTTGAGAAACCTTTGGTTGTATGACAATGCTCTCCTCGGTGGTCCAGTGCCGTCCGAGATAGGTCAGCTGAATCTCCTCCAGGGATGAAACTTGGCAACAGCAACTTTGGTGGCCCCCTTCCGTCCGAGCTAGGTCAGCTGAACATTTTGCGGGAGTTTTTGTTCGCTGGAAATGACATGGAGGGTAGTACAATCCCGAGGAGTTGTGGGCCTATCGAGTATCGAATTTCTGGACTTTGGCGAGTCAAACTTTGGCGGCACGATTGGTACCGAGATTGGTAAAGCCTGACAATGAAAGGAATCAAGCTCCAAAGAAATCAACGGAAGGGACGCTGCCGTCGAGCTTGGCTTGTTAAGTAACCTCTTGTTGCTTTGGGTGCATGGACACGAGTGAGGGGTCAGTGCCGTCGAAGTGTGGTTTCCAACGGTGCAGTACTTAATGCGGACTGCGCTGGAAATGATCCCCCCATCTCCTGTCCGC